ATAACTCAAGTATCATAATTAATTTCTTCAGGTTTTTGTTTTCATTCTTCTTCTTTGTTTTTTTTTTTTGACTATAAGCTACCCAGGCTTAGTTAGGAGTCGCAGAGTGCGTGTCTTCTGGAAATCCGCCGTCATAAATAATAGTTATTTGCTTTTGTTTTTTGTTTTTTTTTTTTTATTAAGAAGCATATTTATTATATATAAGATGTATGTAATACAATAATTTTTTTTGTCTGTCCGGTTGGTTGTTTTTTTTAGTTTTTGTTTTACTTTTTGGGTTTATTTTTTAATTTATCCATTTTATATAATCATATAAAACACTGAGCAGCTACAATACAAATATTGTGATAAAAACTTACAACATAACCTTTAATACATAAAAATACTTGCATAGTCTACAAATCGTATCGTTTATGGAGATGCCACTGCTTCTTCTTCTTCTTCTGCTGCTGCTGCTTCCTCAACTGTGCGAGCCAACCGCCGTTATCTACTGCTGCTGCTGCTGCTGCTCTCTCTTGCTCGCCCTCTCTTTCTGTCGCTCATCTCCTAATTTGTTCTCATGTATTATATATTTTTTTTGCTTTTGCTTTTTAACTCGCCTCATTGCACGCCGCATTCGGCGATTGTTGTTTCGGTTGGTTTCTTTTAGTTTTCCGTTTTTACCCTATTAAAAATTTGTTTTCTTCGCTTTGTTTATTGATTTCTGCTATGCCACCTTTTGTTTTTTTTTTTTTTTGTATTTTTTGTATCTTTGCTCGCGGCGTAGGCGGGTGTAGATCGGTAGAACGTAGAATTGAGTGCAGTTGTTGGATGGGACAGCAAATGAGAACGAAAAAGGAACGAAAACAAAAAACAATCAAAAAAATAAAGGCATATTTTTAGGGGCGCGGCTGAGAGTTCTCTTTTACCGCCGCGCCCCCGCTGAGAAATTTGCCAATAATTTGCATGAGTTTTGTTGTTCGAGTTTTTTGTTGTTGATTTTGTTTATATGATTCTTCACAATATTCTTCTACTAAGTTTGATGTTTTGTTTGTTTTTGTTATTTGCAGCGTTAATTACAATAGAAATTATGTTTATGTTTGTATATATATATTTGCGTAATTAAAATTAAATATTTATCGTATAAAACATATAAAAAATTGAGACGCGACATCAAATCGAAAGCGTTTGTTTGTTTATACCAAAAAATATATATTTAAAAAAAAAAATAATAATTTTTGACTACAAAAATTGATTTAGACCTTTCTGTTTGCCGAGTATTTTTGTTGTTGTTATTTTTTTATTTTTGGTTCGAATTCGTTTTGGAAAACATAAAGCAACGCTGGGAGGGGTACGAAGAGCCCGGCCAGAAATCATAAGAAACAATAATAAACAAAGGATTTAACATACAATTTTTGATGTTTTTTTTTTTTGTTGTTTTTAGTTGTTTTTAGTTGTTTTTTTGTTATTTTATACACATCTTTATGATAGGGGCGTATATAATGTATGTATATATAATTATAAGTAATAAATTTTCAATATTTTTATTTAATTATTTGCACACATGAATAAAAAATTACTATTTGCAATCATATATATATAAAAAATAAACTTAATTATCAGCAGCGGTCCCTCATCTCGTCCCCTTGTCACATCCTAAGCATCACCTGCTACATATATCATATCATATATATATACGATTATATATATATATATATATATCCGCCTTTCCCTTCAACCGTTCTTTCTTTTCGTTTTACTTTAAGCTTAATAAATTTTGGAAGAGTAAACAATACCATCGAGTTGCAATTGTTGCTGCATTATGCATTTATGTCTGCGCAAGTGTGTGTGTGTGTGTGTGTGTGTGAATGTGTATGTGTGTGTGTATACATGGCTGTGTGAGTGTGTCGAGCGAGCGTGAGTGAGTGAGTGTGTGTGTGTGTGTATGGGTGTATTATATAGATCGCTTGAATGAAAACTAATGGTTAATGCGTATTTTTATGTTGTTCTACACCTCCTCTCACCCGTTTCTCTCTCTCTCTCTCCCTTTCGGCTCTCTTTCGCTCACTTTGATTTACTTTTCATTCGAGTTTCTTTAACTAATTTTTTATAATCTTTTTGTTCTTTTTTTGTTTCTGCTTCGTCCTCTGTTTTCATCTCTTATACGTATAAACTTTTATAATTTTATACTAAAGGTTTTTACCGTTTTCTTTTCTTTTTTTGGATTTTGTTTTGCTTTTTTCTTTCCCCTTTTTACTTTGTATATATATAAAAAAAGATGTCCAAAGTTTTTACGTTACGTTATTGTATATACGTGTTTTTTTGTTGGTTTTTTTTTTTTTTTTTAGTTTTTAAAGTGGATCGTTCTTTTTTTTTTTTCTTTCTTAACTTGTTTTTGTTGTTCTGCCTGTTTGCTTTACAGTTGTCCTATGCTTTAAATGATTTTCTGCCTTATTTGTTGAATGTTTATATATGAGCGCAATGCGCTAATCAGCGCGTTTACTATATATATATATATATATATATAAATATATATATATACTATAGATATAGTAATAGTATCGTACTATGTATATATGTGGGGGGTGTTGTTTGCCTTCCGTCCTTTGCTTTCTTCATATATATGTATATATATATATGTATGTATATATATGTGTGTAACTAACGGCGCTTTACTTTGTCTCCTCCTTCTCCTTGTTCTCCTCGGTCGATTCCTTCTCGTTCGACTGTGGGGAAATTGAGAAATTAGTCATTAGTCATCATTCATCAGTCATTATTCATTAGTCATTACTCATTAGTCATTACTCATTAGTATACAATAATATCAATTCGATTTTTGGCTTTACCTTGTCCTTCTCCAACTCCTTCTCGATTTTGTCGCCATCGGTGCCCTCCTGCTCATTTGATTTCTCCTGCTCGCCGCCTTCCTTGCCCTCCTTGGTCTCGGGTCTGTAAGAAACAATTGCGATTAGTTTTGATCGGTTTAATGAGAGCATTGTTGTACTCACTCTGGCTTGGGAATGTGCGCATTCAGATCGAGCTTTGTGCAGATCTCATCCCAGTCGGGGAAGCACTTGTCCTTCATGCGCGACACGTGTCCAATCAAATTGGGACACTTCTCGGTCATATAGTCGCGCAACGGATACGCAATATCCTTGGACAGATAGTGCAGTTGGGAGAGGACCGCAAATGCGACCACATCCAGGGTGGTCGGCTCATCGCCAAAGAAGAACGGCTTACAGTCGAGCATCTCGCTGAGCACCTTCAGATCGTTCTTGCCGAACTCCTCGATCTCCTCGGCGCTGTGCACACCGATGCCGTGCGCCTTGAGCTTTTTCGTACCCTGGAACCACTTGTTGTGTTGAATATCGGTTGCCAAATATGGTTTTTTTTTTCGAAATTGATTTGGTTTTGGTTTTTTTTATTAATGTTAAACAAAATGCAGAGGATGCACAACGGGCAACGGGGGGTTGTTAGGAGTAGTTACACAAGATATACACACACACAGAGAGGTTAGCAGTAGTAGTAGAGGAAACACCATCGAAAAATCAACATAAAAATATATAATAAAAGAAACGAAAAAAAAGAGAAAAAACACCATGCAAGAGTTAGTGATAATGAATGGAATTTGGTTTGATCTTATTGTAGGTTGGTTTGTGTTTTTTTTTTTATTTTGCTTTAAATACAGCCTTGCAGAAGATATATATAGTCGGTTATATATATATAGCCTGATCTGATCTCTCAGTGTAATCTGAATAAAACTAGCTATAGATACGGATCTGTTTATACAGTCAACACATCAGTTTCAGCCAGATGGGAGTACTACTATATCATATCATATATATCAACTAAATCTTAGCAATATCGGATGACTAAATCACATATACACAGTCAGTTCTATATAGCCATGTCCCTTTGTCTGATCCGATCTCTCAGTTTAAGCAATCTTGTTGAAACTAGGAATCTATTTATCCAATATCGGATTATTATAACACATATACACAGTCGGGTATACATAGACATGTCCTTCTGTTTGATCTGATCTCTCTGTAATCTGATAATCTAGATAAAACTAGCTATATATTCGTATATTTATACAGTTAACAATATCGGCCAGATGGGACTTCTATTTCATATAACTGAATAGTTCATCTGTTGTTTTCTGTTTATAGACACATCTATACGCTTAATCTTAGCAATATCGGAAGACTATATCTCATAAGCATAGTTCTTTGATTCCACAAATGTATTGTAAATCTGTCTGCAAGGGTATTAGATATTCGGTTAACCGAAAATAACTGTTCTTACTTCTTGTTCTGTTGTGTTATTGTTGTCGTCAATTGCGGTATTTGTATATATTATCATAATTGGGTTATATGAGAGGCAACGCTGAACATAAACAATAGAGGGCGCTGCGAAGCCAAGCACCGTTATTGTTTATGTCCACATGATATACTACTATAAACAAAATTTTGAATGTAACTGTCGGTGCGCTCTGGGTCTAGTCGCTGCGACAGGCTCTGGCAATATCTCTGGCTCTAGTGTGTGTATGTGTGTTTGTGTGTGTGTGTGTGTAGGTGTAGTTGTGGTTGTGGGAGGTGCAACACAATACGGCAACGATTCCAAGAGCCTGTTACTGTTGCCTTTTCATCAGCTTCTGTGTCAATATGTTTATTTACACTAGCCAGAAATATGCCAGAACCAGCCGGAAAAATCGACTCGAATTCCCAATAAACATTGCGACGAGCCTCAGATTCATGGAAACTACAAACTAAGGTTTGATGGATTTCTAGTTTTCTAGTCTCTGGTTACGTATGTATTTCTAGCAAATTACCTTGCGACCGAATGTGATTTTGAAGAAAAAGTTCAAAATCGAATTGGGCAAACGCAGGCCGAGCGCATGCTGCAAATTCACTTTGTAGCCCTTGAGTACATTATCGGGATACTTGGCCCGCCAGTAGAAGATGATCCAAATGAGATGATTCTCGAGCATGGCAATTGTGGCATAGGACACATTGCGCTGTTCGGCGGTCAAGCTGGCATCCAAATTCTTATCATACTTGGCCGACAGCTCCTTGATGATGATGGCCGAATCGGCGATTTCCTCGCCATTTAGCTCAATGAACGGCAATTGGCCCTTCTTGGAACGGAAACGCATCTTGTGGTCGACATTCTGGAATAAGTTCATATATATAAATATAAGAAATCGGAAATTTAATGCATTAATAATGAGTAAGCGTTGAGTAATAATTGCGGGCTGAGTAATATGCTTGGCTGGGATTGGTGGGGGGGTGGGGGTGGCCCCGCAGGCGGTTTCTGTTGATATTTTTATTCTCAATAACTTTTTCCATATCGCGCATTCCGATTCATGGATGGATGGATGGATGGATGTGTGTGTGTGTGTGTGTGTGTGCGTGCATGACTAATGTGCTTGTAATGTAGTTCAATCTCTGTCTCCCACGCGACCCGGCACGGCCTGTTTCGATGTTCCGGCCGCTAGATGGCGCTCATGACATATATAGCCCTCTATACATACAATCGCATACACATATATATATATACGCACGCACGCACATACTTGCACACTTATATATGTATGCCAAAAGCGAGATGCTGCCAGCCGAAACAACCACTAGAAAAAGCTGTACCGAAAAATCAACCAACACCCAACTACCCCCACTGTGTGCGCACTCACACACATACACAAAGCATGCTGCTTGTAAAATTACACACACGAACGCACACGACGAGGAGTTGGAAAATTTCCAATTGCCGCTTTTTGAATTTGGCATATTCCAGTGTCAAAGCTGCTTGCCGCCGCCGAATTCCAGTGTGTAAACGTACAATATGCATGCGCCGTTAACCGTTACAAAAAAAGTGACAGTTATGTCCGGCACATTTTGAGTTAGCATGTGTGTGTGTGTGAGTGCACATATAATTTCTAATTAGAAATTGTCCACAACAAAAGCGGACAGTCATATCGGGGCGTAGCATATTTCATGCTTTGGCGCGGAGGGCAACAAACAGGGCAAACAGGCAGGGTGTGGTTGCAAACTCGCACACACTCGCATACAGCAAACGAGAGAGAGGAAGAGAGAGAGAGAGCGTCAGAGGGCGAGTCAGCAAAAAGAGATTATGTTTTCCAGCAGCAGCAGCAGCATCGTCGCTGCCCAGGCTGAAAAGGGTGGAGTCGTCATCGTCGTCGTCACATTTAATTCCAATGATCCACAAAAAGGCTGCCTCGAAAATGGAAGAAGCTGCCTCCAACGCATAACTGTCGCCACCACCGCACCGCAGCCATAGCCATAGCCGCAGCAGCAGAGGCCGAGGCAGCGTTTGCCGGCGACGCATTGTCGCTACACAATGCAAATGTTTATTTTTTATTAAATCATTATGCCAATTAAGCGGAGACGGGGCTCAATTTTGGCGCAGTGTGTAGAGTTTTGCATTGGCAACAATTGGATGCATGTTAAAGACACGACAAAAATGAACAAGAACAAGACCAGGGGAACAACAACAACCAACACGCCATGCAATTATGCAGCGCTTGCGTGTGCGTGTGTGTGTGTGTGTGACTTGGAAATCCACACCCTGCCTTAAGTACAAAGAGCGGAGTTTTAGCAGAGAGCGAGCGAGCGAATGAGCAACAACAAAGGCAGTGACTGTCGCCGCAACCGTTGCAGTTATTGCATATGTATGCGCAGTCTTTGTTTTGAGGCAAATATGCGGCTATTAATTAAAATATAAAAAAAAACAACAAAAACAACGAGTAACGTTTGACTGCATTTGTCGTTGGCATTTTTAAAAAGAATAAAACAAAAAAAAAATGCAATACTCCACTTCCCCTCACACACACTAGCGCTGCTGCTGCCGCTGCCTTTGCTGCGCTCACACGTACAGTTGTACTCATACAGGGTTGCCAGACCGTGCTGACGCGTCAACACTTTGTGCTGGCAATATGGCACGGCGCGCGAACATTTGAATAATTGTGAATTGTAAAAAACGGATGTGTGCGTGTGTATGTGTGCGTTGTTCGGCGTTGGCTTTTGCGCCGCAATTTCCACAAATGAATTGAAAATGGAAATTTATGCACGCACAACAACTGCCCTGCCGGCTGTTTGGTTTTATTTGTAATGCATATTGAAAAAGTGAATTAATTGCACAATATACATGCATAAATACTTACGAATGGCAGTCACATTGGAATGCCAACTATGCGGGCGGCAATAAGCAGCAACAGCAGCAGCCGCGCCTAAGCAGAATCTTGTTGTTGTTGCTGATGTTGTTGTTGTTGTAGCTGCTGCCTGGCGTTGTTAATGATTTCGACACGCTCGCTACACGCTTGTGGTGTGAAAAAATATGCGTTTGGTTTATCACCCGTCTCCTGCTGCTGCAGTTGTTTATTTTTGGGCAAGGCAAAATGTGCGCCTGCCTTTTAATGTATACAAAATGCAGCAATGCGTTTACAATAACAACAGTCAGCGGCCATAATGGGGGTACGACAATGACGGGACGGGGGGCGGGGGCGATATCACTCGATTTCATGAACGCTCGCCCTTCTACAGCGGCTTGTTGGCATTGTGATTAATGAAAATGTCAAAGGTCCATTTCGTTCCATTCAGTTTGTTGAACTCTCCCAAAGCTCTTATCATAAAGCGGAACAAAATGGAAAGTGCGCTGCGACTGCGTCGTCGTTGTGCATTGCGTACACATTGCACGCATACACACGCACACACACACACATGCACACAAATTTATATCTGACGTACTGTCAATCATAATTGCTTGCGGCTGCCGGCTGCATACAGCAGCTGCTGCCGTTACTTTCCCATTGCAGCCAAACGGCGATAAATCAATTCAATGAGCCGCGGCAGGGGCAGCGGCAGCGGCAGCGGCAGCATATGGCAAAAGCTGCTGGCGCATTATCAGCTTAGGATGGAATTTCATCTCGCGCGCCCAACTACTTGAGAGCATCAATTAACATTCTTACAGCTCACACTCACTCAGGCTACACCCCCCTCTTTCGACCCCCGCGCACTCATTAAGCCATGTAATTAATAAGATTAAAGAAAACAACAATTGCGTCGTCGTCGTCGTCGTCGCTGCTGCTGCTGCCACCGCCGCCTGGGGCCGCACCCATTTTTGTAAGTCTATAAAATATGAAGGAAAATATATGCAAAACGCATCGCGCGCGCGCCTAAAGCTTTAAAACTTTTGGAGCGTCTCGAGCTCTGTTAATGGACAGTGGGGAAAAATGAACGCCGGACAGTCGAGACGGTTATTTGTCTAGCTGGGCTACTTAAAGATAAGGCGCAGTAATAAGAGTGGATAGCAGAGAGGAAGGGGGGGTTTAGCGCAGCAGCAACAATTTTTTTTATTAAAAGCAATTACAAAACGGGCACAAACGGGGCTTGGAATTTTTGTGCAAGGCAAAGACAGAGACTGAAAAAACTAAATGAAGCAGAGCGCGCTGCAGCTGCAGCAACAAAGACAAAGACCAGAGTATTAAATGGGAGCCGTTGCTGCTGCTGTGAGAGCGAGCGCATAAATCGGAGAGAGAGAGAGAGAGAGCGCCAGTGCCAAGTGCAAAATTTGAAGCACAACTTCGCATTGGGGAAGGGTGAGGGAGTCAGTTGTGTGTGTGTGTGTGTGTGTCGGTGTGGAGTATAAAGCACAACTTATGTGAGAGAGCGGCGGCGAGACGTTGACAACGAAACAGCAGCTAGGCAGAGGCCAGGCCAGGCCAGGCACAGCGCAGCGCTGCGGCGTCGGCGCACACACAAATTTTATGTATACGCTGTTTCATGTAGACGCACACACACACATGCACATGAACAGACAGGAATAAAATCCAGCAGCAGCAGCAGCAGCAACAACAAAACGCCTGGCCTGGCTCGCTACAGGTTCAAATACGAGAACACACACCCATACATCCACGCATTGGAAGTCTGCCTGTGTGCGTGTGTGTGCCGGGATAGAAAGAAAAGGCAATGCTAAATGTATCCCTTTTCAGCGCATGCTGGCCTATAGGGTGCGGTGCGCGGGCAGGTCACAGGCTTAGCACACAATCATGGCGGTTTTTATGTATGGGTGTGCGTGTGCCTGTGAATGTGTGTGTGGAAAAAATCTCTACCGCAAAAATACATATGTATGCATGTATGCTAGGGAAAAAAAAAATTTGATGATGAAAAACCCGCCAGGGAAATGGGAAAATCATGTAAAATTTCAAATATGTTTCACCAGCAGCAAGACAGATAGATAGAAATTATGATGCTGGAAAATTGGGAAATTGGAAAATTTACCTCGTACTTGAGCGCCACCAGACGCAGCCAAGTCTCCACTTTCAGGCAATACGGTGAGAGCGACGGCAGCAGGGGAGTACGCGAAAACTGATACAGATAGATAATGTCCTTCTCAAAATTGGTCTTGTGCACATTGAACTTTTGTGCTGGGGCTTCTGATTTGGCTGGCGCAGCGGCAACATCGCCACCATCTTTCTTCGCATCGGCGGCAGCTCCATCGGCAGCGGCAGCGGCTGGCGACGCCTTCGCATCCTCTTTGTTGTTGTCTTGGGCGTTGTTAGCGGCAGCGTTCTCAGCAACGGCAGCGGCAACGGCGACAGGCTCGGCAGCAGGTTTTTCCGCCTGCTCGGCAGCAGCATTTTCTGTGGTCGCTGCTGCTGCGGCGGCAACTGCAGGCGTTTCCTCAGCGGGTATTTGAGCTACTTCGGTTGCCATTTTTTTTTCTTTTTTGCTTTTTATTCAATTTTTCTTCGATTTGAAGTTGCGCTTTCTTTCAAAATCTTCACACTTTTCCTTGTTCAAATGCACGCACTCACACACATACACGGATACGGGGCACGAGCACACACACAGAAAGACAGAGAGAGAGACGAAGTCACAGTCGAGTCGCAGTCGCAGAGTCACCACCACTACAGACAGTTTTTTAAAAAATGCACCACACAATTTGCGCACAGTTAAAAGGTACCGCACCAACCAGACGCAACCGCTCACAAAACAAAACTGAACGGTAAATTTCCATTTCAATATTTTCCAGCCATGGTAACATTCTGGCAGCGTTGCAGCAACAAACTTATCGACCTATCGCTGTTAACTAACCATTGCTGTTATTAACAGCACAGCTCCACACGCTAAGTGCTGCAGCTCACTTTTCAACACTCACTCGTCATTTTCACAAACAAAGCGCGTCAAGTGCGACAGTTTTCGACTTAAATTAATTAAAAAAGTGATTAACGCAACTTTATTGGACCTTTAAACGATGGGCGCTGCATTGGGCCTATGTTCGGTAGCGCAGGTGTGTGTTTACAAATAAATTACTTGACTGCATGTCGGGTAAAAGCAAATTGCGCATATGGTAAAAACTGCAGCAAAATCGATTCTCAGAGTTGGCGGCTTTGGCAAAAAAAAGGCTAAAAACAAACCGCTATGAAATAAATACAAATTTACCTTCTAAATTTGCTAGCTTTGGCTGCAACTTGGCTAAATATAAACCGTTAAAATTAGCTAATTTAATATAAGTGCGGCAAAATCGATTTTCAGTGCTGCCAGTTTTGGCTTTACCGCTAGATTTGGCTACATTTGCTTGTCATGCTTAAAAAAGTCGATAAAAAAAAGGCTAATTTTTTGTATATCCTTTTCAGTGTGCGCTCTGCTGCACGGGCACCGCGGCCAGCATGTGCTGCTCGGCCTGCCCCACCTGCAAGAACTCCTCCTCGTCCCGTTTCATGTACGCCTTCATGCTGCTGGTGGGCACAGTCCTGGGCGCCATTGCACTCTCGCCCGGGCTGCAGGGCACGCTAAAGAAGCTGCCATTCTGTGTGAACTCCACGTCGACAATTAGCTCCACGGCCATAGGCACATTCTCGGGCGGCTCACTGCAGGTGGACTGTGAATATGCGCTGGGCTATATGGCCGTATATCGGCTCTGCTTTGGCCTGGCCTGTTTCTTTACCCTGATGGCGGTCATTATGCTGGGCGTGAAGAGCTCTCGAGATCCGCGCTCTCACATCCAGAACGAGTTTTGGCCTCTGAAGTTTCTGATATGCTTTGGCGCCTCGTTTGCGGCCATATTCATACCGGATGGCTCCTTTGGACCGGCCATGATGTGGGTGGGCCTAATTGGCGGGCTGGCCTTCATACTCGTCCAGCTGATCATCATTGTGGACTTTGCGCACAGCGTCGCCGAGAACTGGATTGGTGAGCTGGAATATGGGCTTCTTTTATTAGATTATGACTAATTTGATCTTTGCCCATTTGCAGAGAATGCGGAGAACAATCGCGGCTATTATTACGCCTTGGCGGGCGTGACTCTCCTGGCCTACATAGCCTCCCTCACGGGCATAACTCTGCTCTACATCTACTTCACCACAGTACGTACTTATATTTATATTTATATTTATATTCATTTGTAATACAATGCGCTTTCTTTGATTTGCAGTCCACGGGCTGCGGCATCAACAAGTTCTTCATCTCGATTAATCTGATATTCTGCCTGGTTATCAGCATTTTGTCGGTGCTGCCCGCGGTGCAGGAACGCTTGCCCCACTCCGGGCTGCTGCAGAGCTCGCTTGTGACCTTGTACACCATTTACTTGACCTGGTCCGCCGTGGCCAATAATCCGGGTTCGTCTTGCATGAAGCAAACAATAATTTGTACGTTTTATGACCGCTTTTCGTCTCTCGCTCTCTCGCAGAAAAGGCCTGCAATCCGGGCATGTTTGGACTCATGGAGGGCTTGCCCAATGCCACCACCACCACCATTGCACCGCCCACACCCAACTCCAAGGTCACCTTCGATACGACCAACATTATTGGCCTGGTTGTCTGGCTGCTGTGCATCCTCTACAATTGCTTCAGCTCCGCCGTCGAGGTGTCCAAGATTAACAATGACAACAGCGAGAAGCGTGGTACGTGCCCTCAGCTGGCCTTCAATATACCCTTGCAGGGGCTGGCATTGTAATTGTGTTGCTAAATCATCTCTGAGCTGTTAGAGTATATATATATACTCTTGATCAATATTAATAGCCGAATTCTTCCGTTTGTCTGCTTGTATGTAAACAAATCTCTCAGTCTGTTTTGATGAAGTCTTTCTGCGATCTGTATATGTATATGTCCAAGTCTCTCAAGTCTGCCTTGGGTTCAATATGATCTAAACGTATTAAGTAAATCTTATCAAAATATTGATATTTGGTTATATTGATATCTAGCTTAATGCTTTATGTAAACATTCCTAGAAGCTATGTTTAAAATATTTTGTATATATATTACTTTTGGTTCTGTGTACTACATATATATTTGAATCGCGCCAGATCATTCCACTAAATAACATAGCTTCCATAGTAAAGATTTCCTATATAATTTTCAAGGGAATAATGAGTCGTAAAATTAGTTTCGAGTTAAGAAACATTTGCTGCCAGCATTTCCTCAATTTGTTCCCAACTTATAGACAAAGATTTATGAACATTGGACAAGTACTTTATACAGCTCCAAAGGGAACATTCAGATAATGTATTTTAGCGAGATTATTACGGCTAACTATAACAAGAACTTACTTTCAACTATATCAAGAATTTATTTACTACTATATTATATTTATATATATATTTATATTTATATATATATAGATATTTATTTACAACACAATGTCTGCAAGGGTATTTTAAGCTTCGGCATTTCGAAGTTAATTTTGCTCTCTTGTCTTGGCACGCACATTTGCACAGTTTCATAGTTCGACAGTTCCATAAACCAGCTCCATTCTCACTTTTCATTTTCGCTGTACATATTCTGGCTAACTAATTAACTAACACTTTCTTCTTTGTTTGTTTTTTTATTGATTAATTTTAACACTTTTGTTTGATAAACTTCCACTAATTGGTTTGGTAACGAAACTGTGTACAATTTGCCGACATCTATAACTAATATAGTTTTAACAGAAGCTCTATCAGACACAGAGACGGGCAACGGCGGCGAGAAGCCCGTCAGCGACAACGAGGCCGAGGGCGTCACCTACAGCTGGACCGCATTCCACACCGTCCTCGTCTGCGGTGAGTACAAATTGCGTCCAATTAAATGGTCTATATTATGCTGATACATCGTCTTAATCTTTTATAGCTTCGCTGTACGTGATGATGACGCTGACCAATTGGTATAAGCCCAACTCGGACATAGAGCTCATCAATGGCAACGAGGCTTCCATGTGGGTCAAAATCATATCCAGCTGGCTGGGCGTATCCATCTACGGCTGGAGCCTGGTCGCGCCCATTGTCCTATCCAATCGCGACTTTAGCTAAGCGCAGCCAGTATTCCACACAGATTCTATGTATACGTATCTATATATATTATAAAAGTAGGCGTGGTCTATTATGCAGCCTGGATATGCCTGAAAATGCAATGGAGCGGTGCTTAAGCGAATGTTTGCTATATTTACTCATTAATCGTATTCTCAAAATATAACAAAGATAACTAACTAAATATGTATATGTACAAATATCTGGCGTCAAGTCCTCACTCCAAATAAAATTTAGAGTTCTTGCTGCTGTAGCTGTTGCGACTGTTTTTCAATGCTTTCCCGCAGACGCTGCAGCACCACAGTTTTTCCCAAGATTTCCATCATTTCCGCCACGCCGGGACCCTCCTGGAGGCCGCTCAAAGCGCCGCGCAGCGTTTTCATCAGCGCCGGAAACTTGAGTCCGGCTGCTTTTGCATAGCTCTTGAGCAGCGCATTTAGCTGATCCTTGTGAAATTCGGGCGTGGCATCCAATTGCTGCAGCAGCTGCTCCAGCTGTGCCGCACTCAAATCCTTTAGCACAACATTGCTCGGCTTGACCCAGAGAAAACTCAGCTTGCCGCTGGTCAGATCCTGCAGCAGGGTCAAACGCTGCGCTGCCCAGTGAAGCACCTCGACAATATGCGACTCGGCGAGGTCCAGATTGGAGCTGTGCGGCGGGAGTGTTGGTAAAGGGTTTACGTAAGGATTCCATTGAGAACTTACTGCGTGGAATAGGCCTGCCTGACCAGCTGCTGCACGTGCTCAACCAGCTGCAGACGGCTATGCGGATCGGCTAGGCGCGCCTTAATCTCCAGCTGATTGTAGTCATTGAGCAGTTCCGCATTCAGACGACTGGGATGCGCATTTACACGCTCCAAGCGAAACTCCGCGGCCAGTTTGGGTATGGAGTACAGCTGCGGCTTGGCATTCGGTCTGTGCTCAAAGCCGCCGCCGGCGGAGACAATGTAGTTGAGCAGGGCCGTGGGAAAGTAGCCGCGTTCCCGGAACTGCTTTATGCCAATGTCGCCCTGGCGTTTGCTCAGCTTGGTGCCGTCGGCGTTGACCAGCAGCGGCAGGTGACCAAATTGTGGTGGCTGCCAGCCAAAGGCTCTGCGATGAAGGAGAAAAAAAAAACCAATGATTAACGTGGAGCAAAAGGAATTCCTGGATTTACCCACTTGTAGAGCAGCAGATGCTTGGTGGTCGAGATTTGCCACTCGACGCCGCGCAGCACATGCGTTATGCCCATTTGATGATCATCCACGACATTGGCCAAATGATAGGTGGGAAATAGATCGCTTTTCATGATCACCGGATCACCTTCCGTGGCGCTAACATTGTGCTGCACGCTGCCATAAATGAGATCCTGCAGCGGCTCCTCGTGCTCCGTCAGCTTGAAGCGTATGCAGTGCGGCGTGCCCTTGGCCAGCTGCGCTTCCAGCTGCTCCGGCGGCAGATTGCGGCACTTGTTGTCGTACCGTGGCACTTGACGGGTGCGCAGCGCCTCCTTGCGCAACAGCTCCAGACGGCGCTCCGTGCAAAAGCAGCGATAGGCGCTGCCGTTCTCCAGCAGGCGATCGACGGCTTCGCTGTTGTGTGGGCAGGGATTAGGGTTCATTTTTTATAGATAAAACACGTCCAGCTCACCTGTACAGTTGGGTGCGCTGGCTCTGGATGTACGGCCCGTTAGCACCGCCAAAGCCCGGACCCTCGTCTATTTCAATGCCAGCCCAGA